AGTATATGGTTGGCTTTCTGGGCTGCAAGCGCACATAGCTGGGCCATGTTGACCTTCTTTTCAAACAACACCCCCAAGTCCTTCAACTCAGGGCTACTCTCAATCCAGTTTCCACACAGCCTGCATTTGTTTATTACTCTTAATCTGTCAAAAAACAAGTTTAGTGTAATTTCAAAATCTCTGTAAGGCAAGCTTTAGCAGGTCAACTCCCTAATAAAGCTAATAGCCTTTATCACTGCTGCTTACACTAAATAAAACTTAAAAAGAAACTTGCTACCCTCTCAGCATGCATCCAGAATCTAAATCATCAGTAAATGAGATGACTGACTGGTGGGTGCATCCTAGCACACATACTTGCTAACTGGCGATTGTTTGAACATCATCTTGGGATGGGATCCAGTAGAATACACTTTTTTTCTGTATAAGGTTGACACTAAACAGGTCAAACTCATCTCTTTCCAAATCATCACTTCATCACCCAGGTAAGTTGTCACTACAGGAGAAGAACAATAATCTGGTTGAAACCTGTTTTAATAGGTGACAGTTTTCTGCCCTAGATGGCCATGAAATTATTGACATGTTTTTGTAGCCAGCAGTGGGAAAAATGCACTTGGATGCCCACAATGTGTCGCAGCTGCTCTCTGCAGCAAAAATGCTTGTGTTTGCAGCACTGAGATGGGCCTCCACTTCATAGCAAAATGCTAGTTCAATACAGCAGCATTTATGAATACAGAAAAGTATTAACACTGTAAGTCAAAATATTATTGATAAGAAAAGCCAACAGGATTCAGTCAGTGGGATTATAAATTCTATCTCAGAAACATGTACACAAATCAATTAAAATACCAAACGCTTGGGAAAACAGGCTGGTAATACCTTTTTTTGTCTTATCACCTCAGCTATTGCCCTCTAGATCACCAGGCTGAAGCTCAGATGTTCATGAACTTGGCTTGTAGTTGTTATTGAAAAGCAGCTTGTCTCCAATGGAAATTGTGAAGAAGTGGTCAAAATAGAACATGGTCCATGAAAAACTACTCAGTCACTATGGGATCTTATTTCTATAACCTTCACTTGTTTGTTGGTGCAAAATTCTAGAATACTACAAGGCCTACTCCAGCTCTTCCCTGGCTGCTAGGTCTATCCTTTTCTGCATTACAGCTTGTCTTTTAAATCCTGATATTTACTATAACAGCTTGTCTAGGTAATTAAGAATGTCTGCTGCCAAGTCATCCTGCTATTAAAATGTTTAATCTTGGAAGACTGCATTTACTCAGGTATATTTTGAATTATGCTGTATCACAACTAACAAGAAAACTGGAGTTGCAAGGCCAAGTACACTGTAAAAAGCTGCAGAATAACAAACACGATAACTTCTATTTCTGCCAGAAGTATGATGTTCTAACCATCAACAGTTCAGTAGGTAAACTAAATACCTTGCAGGTTGAAATTACCTTGCTCCAAAGTTTCACACAATACAGTCATTTACATTCTTCCTACTGACCTGTAGCATTGAAAGAAGTCAAAAGGGCATCTCCTCATGCAACATGATGGTTGTAAGTCGTGTTACATCCATGATATTCCAGGGTAGCACAAAGAATCTGTGTCACCACACAGGAATATAACATTTAAAGTGCAGAACAAGCCTGCAGTAGCAGGGAGATAGGACAGAAGAAGTCTTTCATTTACTGGATTTCTTCAGTATTTTGTCCTGTGATTTTAATTCATCCTTTCCCGTTATAGATGATAGACAGTCTTGGAGTATTTTCTAGCAGCATCTACAAGTAAGTTCTCTGCCTACTTTCTAGGCACCTATTAAAAAGAGAAACCTGTCCATTCAGGAAGGGCAGATAAAAGATGAGAGAATTGGAGCACACATCACAGGTCAGTTCTAGTATGTGGAGAATAAATGCAGTTGACAGAATGTGATCTTTAGAAACCACTCAGGGAGACTGTGACATTATAGTACATCTCACTCTTTGTGCATCTCTCCATCTCACCTTTGACAGCAAAAAATCCCCTTCAATACCAACCTCTGAGTTTTGCAAATTGGAAACAAGGGAATTTCCGTTCCCCCTCAACCTCTTCCCCCAAGGCAACCATCTGCTAAGGAAGTACCAATTTCCTTTTTTTTTTTTCCCCCTTTGAACAGAAAAGAAAGAATGACCAATATATATTCAGCTGTTTATCCTGAGAACACAGCCTTAGAAGCACCTCCTTAAGTATGCAGGTTATGAAGCTTTACTGCTGTAGGTTGGGTCTTTTTCTTTCAAGTTATTGCTTAATATGGCTTGTAAATATTTAAGTTTATAACTACCTTCAGAAATGTCATTAAGTTATAAAAGCTAGGGGCTTGTTCTTACATTTTAAGCCTCTGACACTAGAAATTGGTGTGCTTCCCATCTGTTTCATTTCTCTTTACATAAGCTCTTCTGTGCTTTTGGGAAGATTATTGACACTGACTGCAAAACACACAGAAAACCTTTAAGGTGTGTCAGGTCCTGAAAAATAATCCTTCAAACAGCTCACAGGATCAGTGCACAAAAAGGAAAGGAAAGGAATTAGGTTTTCCTGTTGAGAAGTGAAATCCAGCAAGCTTTGTGCATAGACAAAAAAACACCAAAATTGTTGTTTTGTATTGATCCCAGTTCTAACAATTTCATCCAATGCCTCAAAAAAACTTTAACATTTCTTCCATATTCTATTTATGCCTACTGTTCAGGATTTGTCTACATCTAAATACTGGTATCAGATGTAGAACTAGCTTTTCATAGCAGCTTGTATAGCTGGGAAGTATCCTTCAACACAACTGTTCTTAGATAAGAACACAGACAGTGAAAGACATCTGCACTCTGAACCTTAGCTAGTATTTCCTCCTATGGAAAAACTGTCCATAAAACAAACAAAAAAAACACACAAACAACTAAAAAGCCCAATAACATGCACCCAGGAACGAGGCATACACATCAGCTGCCACTGGCCATCAGACTATTTGAGCTGCTTTGGTCTTTACAATGAGCATGGCCAGTATTTCACTGAAAGGTTGTGCAGAAGTCCCTGTTCTCAGTTTAGCACAAAAGACAAATTAAGTTTCTTGTGAAATATTTTTCTATATTTCTAGTTTCCCCACTTTTACACAATGCCTCCCTGTACTTTTGCTTTAAAAGTGTATACTTAAATAATATAAAATAATAAAATCATACAATAGTTAGGGTTGGAAAGGACATATTAAACAATTCAAGCAATTAAGACTTAAATCTATACTTACAAGCAAGTTAAAAAGGGAAAGTCTGAAAAAGTTACCACAGAGATGCAACAAGAATAATAATTATACATTTTTATTCAATTTTACTTATTCTTCAACTGTGCTTTCCGTAAATAACCATTCAAATTTCTTTGAAAAAGTAAAGGAGAGAATAAATTACTTTAGTCTTCACAGATAATGGGAGGAACATCCCTTTATCTACAGACTGTCTTTTAGAATTTAACATGAATATGAGATCTTCAACATTACGCATTACCGTTTAAGCGGGAAATGCAGACCACAAGCCCACAGAATCAAAATCTCTTTTAAATTGGTAAAATTTAAAAACAACTTTATATATTTAGTTCTCAAACTGGCTTTCATTCCACATTTAATTCTTATAAGCACAAGAACATTTTAATTAATGTAACATGTAAGCTGGAGCTTAAATGCCTTCCAGGCAAATAAAAAGTTGTAGCCAGAGACCAATGAAAACAAGAGCAGAAAGGGAAATAAAACTCTACATTCTCATATCGCACAATTCAAGTTTATTCCATTCATTCTTGCAACACAAACTGAAAAATACAGTATCATTTAGCATTCTGATGCCTATGAACCATGATAATGATGAACCTGTGTCAAAAGTTAACAATAATGAAAAGAGAAAGTTGAATATCAAAATGCACAGAGCACTAATCTTCTTCCATCACTGTGCAGAAAGATGATTGTTTATCCATTTACAAAATATAATTAAGACGAGTTCATTTTGAAATCTTGCATGCAACACTGCAATTGCTTGACCTAGGACGCTCCTTTCTTACCAGCCTCTTCTACAAATAATTCAATGAATATTCAAGGATAAAGTTCTATTTAACTATCATACTCCTTTTCCCATTTGCTCTCCCTTAAGAAGAAGGAGCAGAGGGTACGAAATCCAAAGTATACTTAATGTTATAACTTATTCAGCACAAATTTCAAAAGGAAAAGGTTTAAGAACAGAGTGGACTTCCAAGTATATGCTATTCCAGTATGACAAAATATTTAAATTCTTTTTATAGAATGTAAAATAATTTACAGTTTTGTATTTTCATCTAGTTAGGACCTACTCAAAGACAGAGGCAGCCATCCATTTTTTTTTCCTCAATACAACTAGCAAGAAGGGGACAAATGAACAAAGCCCTGTTTCTAGTCAATGACAAAAGCACAAGCTTTTATTTTTATTTTTAATCTTGGGCAAAATGATCAATCACCTCTTATGTAGTGCAAAATGCAAAAAAGTATTTCTTTTGTATGAGCCAAACATTAAAAACCATCTTTTAACTATATTGAAAGGCAGCTTGGGTATATATTATAGCCAAATTAACACTTGTCTCACTGAAGTTTGTTTGCATTGCCCCCTTTTCCTCCCCCCCTCCCTCCCCCTCAAGTGAAGTAAGAAATAATTAGGTGTCCACATAACTGTAGAAAAAGGAAGGCAAAATTGCCTCAGTGAATCACCCGTTAGTAGAAGAGTTAGTAGAAAGATGATGTTTCTTTACTATGAAAATGCTCACCTAAGTGAGAGTTGAAGGGAAGAATAGGAAAGGATACAGAGAGAAAAAAAAAAACACACAAAAAAACAAACCCAGAAAACAAACAAACAAACAAACAAAAACCCCAACCCTGACCTAAAAAAAACAAAACAAAAAAAACCTCTATGGCCAGACGACACTGATCAACACAAAAAACTTGAATAATCAAGTTTCCACATAAAAACAGATTGCAGTTTTCTAGACTAGTATTTTAATAGCTAAGTATTTAATAGCATAATATGGAGGCAAATTTATACCAAAGATGCTTACTTTCATAGCTGAATAAAGAGTTAAATCTATAGTCTGTGTTCACACTATTACAACAACAAGACAATCCAGCACTGATCAGAGATAAGATTAAAGAGTTCTCTTTAAATAGCACTAAAAGCATTGTTCACCAAACATGCTTGTTCTTTTATCAGCAGCTCATCAATTGATTTATCGCTGATTTCCAACCCTTCTGCTCTTCCTTGCCACCCATCTCAAAGAAGCAAAGAGTAATTGCACTGTACAGTTTATGGCCAGAGTTGATTGTTTTCTCCATCTCTTATGGGATGTGGACATGTAAATCAGTTTCTGCTCTCACTTTACAGTCAACACAAGGCTTTTTATAGCTGGGACATTAAATCGTAATATGCAACATTATTCAAGTAAAACTAAGTCTCCATTAAATATGGGTGGTAGTCACCAGCCTACTTCTACATATCCTCTCAATTTCAACAGTAATATCAAAATAATATCAGCTACTTTTGTTTAAGAATTCAGCACGAGACATTATATACACTCGTTTCTGTATTTTGTATGTTATCAGAAAGTCTGAAATCTGTATTCCAAAAAAGAGGAAGATGTATAGTTTGTGGTATACACTTTTCTGTTACAAAAACTGTTATGCAGTTCTGGGTGAACTAGCAATGTAATGAAAATTTTCAAAATGAAAGCCAGAAAGAAGCTCAGACGTTCCTGAGGACCATAAAATGTGATGGGAATACCTAGAACATCATTAAATACCTTCCCATGAATTATCAAGGCTGTCACAGTACTGTCATAATTACCGGTATAGTAAATCTTATCTAAAAGTTGATGGTTAATGTGGGTTGCACTGAGAACTTTTCAGCCCCACGCCTTAACTTCATTAAAAATTTAAGGGCTTCATTCGGCCAACAATGAAATACTGATTCAAAGATATGCACAATTAAAAATTGGTTTTTTTTCCTCCAGTAGTTAGAGCAAGTTAAGACTTCTACTTGTACGTCTTCCTGTTCCTAACACCTGAACTTAGAAAGCTTAGATGTATTTTAAAAGTTTACCAGAAATATTTAGCAACAATTTCACCTGATATGAATGTCTAGATATTGTTCATTTTCCACTTTTGACTTGATTATCCATGTGTACCAAAGAGCTTGTAGCTTTCACATGCGTCTATAAATTTTATGCTGACATGGTGAGTAAAGTAATTCCATCTTAGAATCCTTTTGGAAATAACTACAGTGACACTTCGAACTCTCTCAAAACCAGTTGCTTAAAACATCTGTCCTGGACCAGAATAAACATGGGAAAGAAAAACTTCAGATTCAAGCATCCAAAAGTACCTTAGCAGATATTCTGGAGTGTAACATCACCATGCCTCAACTGATCTTTCCTGGTTTATTCAATAGGTCAGAAAAATATTAGTGTGACATCCAATTAGTCAATATAAAGAACAGGTCCAATAACTAGTATCAAAAGTCCTCAAAACTGCAACATAAGCTTTAGGCAGAAGGATAATAAAGCTAACCACAGAGAGAAAAGCAACCCAGCCACCTACATCACTACACTTCAGATTATAGCAGACACTAATAGCATGGGACTATTGTCTCCTTCACAATTAGTTTTAGGAACATAGCACAGTACTTCCATCTAAAGGAATCTTTCAAAAAAATCTTAGTACTAACTAGGAGGTTTACAAGCATAAAATTCAAGATCATGGTCTGTCTTCCTTCTTCCATTTTCACTAGAAACAGGAAGAGATTGTGCACTGAAAAGAAGTCCTAGAGGGACACTGTTCATAATAGTTTTTTAACCCTCCCCAAAGAGATTATCTTCAATACAAGCCCCTAACTAGTCTGATTCAGAAATAATTTCCCTCCCCCCAAAGTATTTAGCTGAAGAAGCTTGAAGATGCAAAAGAGTGACAGACAGGCAGCAGTGTGAGGCCACAGGAGAGACAGTTAAGGTATCAGTCCATCCGTCACTGAAGAAGAGTTTTGATTGCCTGGTTGTCAGTGGCTTCAAAGGCAGTTAGTCCATCTGGGCCTTTCACAGTCTTATCAGCACCCTGTGAAGACATTAAGAAGGACTGTCAATTCATAAAGCCAGGCTGTATGTATTAAGTGTGTCACAACAGCTACTTACCTTGGATAATTATATCGATTACATACAGCTTTTTAGTTCAGTTTTCATTTAGAAACCAAGCAGACAAGATTTATGTACAAAACTATTCAGCACGCAGCTCATCTAAGCCTCAAAATTTATAGAAATTTATAGAATTTATAATATATACGCCTATAAAATTTATAGAACTAGAAAAGAAAATCATGTAATGTGTCACACAGCAAGTTACAAGATCAAAAAGTTATCAGTCTTGGATGGAGATAGAAGGATTTTTCTTTATTTGTTTCCAGCAACTACTCTTATGAAGAATTCAGTGTTACACACTGCTATGAAATCTATGTTTTCTCACATGCTAGATTAGACAAAGTCTGGAAGAGCTTACTTACTAACAAAGCATACTATTTTCTTTCTATATCATAAGAGACTAGCTCCTTGTAGGATTGTGCTTCTCTCCCATTTCGAAAACACAAAACCAAAAAAAAACACCCCCCACCTCCCTCTCTATACAGCTATAATCTTCGTTATCCTGGGAGAAGAAAGGCAACAATAAAAGTAGTAAAAGCTTAATTCTGCAGGTGTTGATTATCTCTACTGTTTAGATAGCACTCTCAGATGACAATCTGTGTGGAAATCAGAAGGGCTTCAATGCTATTCTTTGAAATTCAACTCAGAAAACCTGAAGGAATTTAGATTAGGAGAAAAATGGAACCATACACTAAATGGCTTGTCAGTATTCATCTTGAATCACAGTTTAAAGAGCTTTAACTTATAAAACTCTCCATCACTGTATCAGCATTTAGGGTGTAAAATATTTAAAATTACTTCAGTTAACAGTTACATTACATGAGAACTGCTAATTTAGACAGGACTGCTTTCCACCCTTATGCACATTTGTCCTTCAGAATAGTTACAAGATAAAGACTTGAATTTCTGAAACAGCTTTTCTGAACGTAGGATGAGAGATTCATGACTACCTAAGGGAGGACACCATTTAATAAACTCGGTGTTAATAAGTTAGGAGAACAGCCCCTTAGCTGGGCAGAAAGATTCTTACCTGCATTGTATAAAACGAGAAGGAAATAATAAAGTTCAGGTCAACAGGACTAATTTTCAGAAGTACAATGCTGCCTGGGAGCAAGTTGAATGAAGAGTTTATTAAAGTACAATGATTGCACAGTATTCTCTACTAACCCAATGTAAAAAGCTACTAAAATTTTATGTTTGTGTTATGTTTATTTCTTAAAATACACACAAACACATACATAAACTCTCTTTCTTTGGCAGGGTAATAACAAAGAAGAATCATCTCCCTCAAGCAAGCCACTGGGCAAAGCACAAATGTTAAACATACTCTGGAGGGGGGCAGCACGGGGAAGCAATGCAGAGCCCTGTGAAAGTGGTGTTGGGGGGGGCACTTACTGAAGCTGGCAGAAGACTGATTTCAAGCATCAAGCAGAAAACTTCCAGAACAAGTTGGCATATGAAGTTACAGAGGCAGATGACAGCTTGCTCAAAACAGATGTGAATGAGCTCATGGACAACAAACTTATAAACATTTCTTAAAGAGGACAGACGTAGTCGTCATATTGGGGATTTTAGAGGTACACATGAATAAAGGGAATACGTAAGCATAAGTGGTCATACTCAAACTGTGCCTCAATGGCATCCTTTCTGCCACCAGAGGAGAAGAAAGGTGCTAAATTGCCTAATGCAACTGGGTATTTCTTCTAACACATTTTTTGTAGAAATCAGAGATCAAATTACACTGGATATTTTTGAAAAAGCAGAACTATTTTGAAGGCTGAACAAATGGATTTGTTCCATCTTTCACTACCAACCTCATCCTCCATTAAAAGAATTCAAAAATCAGTTCAGTCGTCCATTGTAACACTATATTGTTTTTTCCTACATTACACCCAAAGCAAGTGCCTTTTTACATTACAAGATCAAATAACATTCTCAAAGGAAAAAAAGGAACAATTTGAATTTAATATATATTTCTTCTTTTCAAATAGGTATCTCTTAAGTCCACTATCCCTAAAAAGAATAAAACCAAACTGAAATACAGCAACTGATGTTGCTTCAGCCCGGCTCAGTGTTCATTAGATATCTGTTACTTTGTTTTGTAGAAGGCTGGTACATAACATGAGCAAAATAAAACTCTGGTATTTTAGAAAACAGTTCTCGGACAAAAGCTACTAAAAGTTAATTTCCCTGTAATAACAGAATATCTCCCAATACATTACTTAACATTAATAAGAGTACTGAAAAGGCAGAAGAAAATTAACACACTTCTGTTTCATTCTGAGGTCAGAACATGCTGCAAACAGCTTTACTGTTTAAAATTACAAATTCCTAGAAAAATATTTTAAGATTAATAAAAAGGACTATACAGTTAACATACTAGCAAGACAAGAAGACCTACCTTTGAACTTTAAGCAGGAAGTGCTCTTTAGACCAAAGCTAATTACTTTCATGTATTACAGTAAATCAGAGCAAAACAACATTTGCAACTGAAAGATGCTGATAGAGCAGTTTTAGGTATCACTCTGCAAGCCTCCATAGGTCTACTCTTTGGGATGTCTACAGTATGATATTCCACGTATTTTCATAAACTTGAAAGATATACTAAGAAATCCGAAAACTATTTCTAGGTTATATACTATATAACTAAGCTTAGATAGTTTAAAAAGGAAGGATTATTTAAAAAGGGCAGTATTGTAGGAACAGGCAAAATGAATTCTTCAGAAGAACTGTTTTAAGGATACAATATTTTGACCTCTAGCCTGACCAAAAAGTGTTTATTAGAAAATCACATATCAGCTCTGACCTAAAGGGTTTGCACTACTTGTGGCAGTTGTAACATATTAAGATTACACTCGTGCTACTTTGGTAAATTCACCTATCCTTTGTTGAGGGCAGTAAAAACCATCTTCATCCATTTTCTGTTTCATGACTTAGAGCCTTTCAATTTTTGAGAATTAATATCATACTGTATTATTACCTATTGGCAAGAGCAGGTTAATTAAGCTTTTTGGAAGCTGATCTGGCATACATGTAGCAGCTGTTTGTTAACCTAAACATCAAAATCTTGCGCACAAATGGAAGGTAAAGTCTTTTTTAATGTATAGAAAAGTTTCAAATACAGAACTTCATATTTTAATTCCTCCCCACTTAAGTAAGTTTTACAGTTTTATAACAAATTGACAATTTCAGACTAACATTTGAGCTTTAATCCCTATAGGTCTGGAAGGAATGACACTACTTGAACATTTTAAACATGCCAACAAAAACCTTGGTTTTGATCTCAAAATTTAAATTGCCACATTATCAATGTTTTAAGTCCATATTGGGCAGGCCTGCACCATCAGAGTGGTGCAGACCTGCCCAACTGCAGTCTGCAGCCCATCAGACTACAATTCTAGTATGTTTAAAGCCATTTAATGAATCTAACCTAGCAGAATCATGGCAGTAACAGATTATGGCTGATCACTATTATTTTTAGCACAACAGCAGTGCCTGAAATCAAGCATTTGTATTCTCAACTTCTGAAGCTTTCAAACTGCATTCACGCTTCTTCTAGAGCAATAAATCAAACTGAGCACTGTTGGTTCCAAAACTAAAACATCCAATCAGCGAATCAGGAAATCCTCAATGAAATGTTAAATTCGGAAGAAAGTGTGCATCAAAGGCCCTTTTGAGAAACTCTTTGGAACAACATAATATATACCCTTTAAGTTATGTTAGGTGTCTATCAGTACTTATGAGAGCAAAGACAAATAACTGTTTCATTTAGCTGTAAACAATTAAAATTATTTTATTTCTGAAAAATAATTATGTTGGTTATATCTGGGTGTATGTTTAAACTTAAATACTGATAAAAAATATGGTAATATGTAAAGCTACAGTTCAAAGTAAAACCTTATTCTTACTGTAAATCCATAATTCAAAGTGTTTTTTTGCTATGCTTTATGAATAGAAAAAAACATAAAATATTGGGGGTTAAATCTATGCAACCATTAAAATAGATGAAAACTTGGGAAAAAACCCTTAAAACATTGTCAGCAACTTCAATACCAATCAAAGGAATTACCAAAGAGCAAACACAGCACTGTTTGCTTTCTGAAGCTGCAAAATTACTGCCTAAATCTGCTGGAGTGCTCATTTGCTACCACTAACGAACATTAAACTCACAGAATCCCAAGGGTTGGAAGGGACCTCAAAAGATCATCTAGTCCAACCCCCCTACAAGAGCAGGGTAACCTAGAGTACATCACACAGGAACTCGCCCAGGTGGGCCTTGAATATCTCCAATGTAGGAGACTCCACAACCCCCCTGGGCTGTAAAACCCACCAGGAAAAAAACACCACTCACATAAAAGTGATTATTCACAGTGCTTAATTCACCATTTTTGACCAATGTATTTTCCAATGCCAAACTAAAATCCTGTGTGTTAAGGAAGGTGTTCTCTTGCAGCTGGTTTTTTGTTTGGTTTTTTTTTTTAATCACTCCAGTATTATTATGTAGCCAAACACTATGGGACCACCAAGTAGTTTATAAAATGTTAACTATGTCATAATTTGGAGCTGTGGTTGACTCAAGACAATTCAGTGCATTCTAAGGGGGACAGTGGGACGGTAGAAGCAGAAAATGAGGTCTATTAAAATCTAAGCTTTTCCAGAATTAGTACATTCCAATTCCCTGAAGCTGCACAAGAAAGGCATAAAAATGCATTAATCCTTATCCCAGGTACCTGCTGTTAAATGATAACAGCTGGTGTTCCTTTAGCTTATCAAAACTAATAAAATCAAACCAGGTCTTCAAAATGATGATAAGTAGGCTTGCAAAAAAATACTTTCCTCACAGTTCTTCAAGAATAAACATGAAGTATGGTAATGGAGAAAAAGATACCACTTGTGCCTTTGCAACTAATAATGTAAGGCATGTGTGGATACAAGGGACACTAGAGGGCTAGCTAAAAAGACTTCAGCTTTTTCGTTTCCATCTGTTTCACATCTCTTATTCCCAAACTTCTTCCACAATTCATCTATCCCTACAAAAGCAGTGCCACAACAGAGACAGCTGAGCAAGCATTCAGTATGTGGCAACAAGCAAACACCATCTGTCATTTACAAAGAACACCACAGAGACTAGGTTAAGCAGTAAAACAGAGAAATCGGGTTCTACTGTACACATCTACAAAAACGAATCAAACCCGGGAGACCACACTTTGGAACAGGGACATCACACTGCAAAAGGACTGAAAAAACTCCCATGGCAGCAGCTGAAGTGAAACCGAAGATACCTCAGTTCTGTCTCTTGATTTGGCAGCAGTGTTTCTTCAATTCCAACTAAATCTGCAACAAAATCTGCAACAGAATTTTAATTTGGAGTCCTCAATTGGCAGGAAACTAACTAGACAAATTAACTTGCAGTAGGGACAAATGAAAAAGGTAAATGCCAAGCCTATTGCAAGGAAGCAGTAGTAATATGCAGGTAAGAGTACTAAAAGGTTGACCAGAATCTCCTGTCAAACTAACCTTTGCAGTGGCTTAGCTGCAACATGTAGCTGCAGTTTGATGTTGCTAGACAGCATGCTTGTCTCACGCTGAAGGAACAGTATGGCAAGAAAACTTCTGTACAAGCACTCCTTCACACGTGACATTAAAACTGCTGCAGAACACCATAAATCAAGTTTCTGAGGACAACTCAAGTATCTGCTGGGCAAATTTAAACATAACTGCACACTGGCGTTTTGTTAAAAAGCATCCAGTGGCAAAACTTGCTTAGTTAGGTCGCTCCCAACGTCCACAGACCCTTATCAATCCCAACAAGCCTACCAACAAGGTTATTTTTTGCAAATCCTTGCTGTATTCCTCATCCATTTCCAAATGCTGCCACACAAAATCCATTTTAGGGAACTGAGACTCCTTATGCCATTGAACGTTTTGTCTTGTCAAAAGCTACTGCCCCAAAATCTGCTTTAATGCTGGAGTATTTCAAAATGCCCAAGGAAAGGTCCATTTATAGATCAAAACCCACACTTCTTTGTTTCTTTAGAAAGCAGCAAGTTAAATTCTATCTCCCTATTATAGTTATGAATGACCAAAACAAAGCTATTCAAGTTAAGAGTTAAGGTTAAGAGTTAAGGTAAAACCTTCTAGATTTTCAGAAAGGAGCTTATTTATATAATTTTATTTACATTCAAGCCCCTGACAGCCACAAGATTTAGACATAAGCTATGCAACCCAACAACTCTTCCTGCAACAGTAATTTTATTCATAAGCTGACCAAACCTAGCCACAGGTAATACTTCCATAATGGTGGTGATGATACAACTTGACAAACAATGTACAGTTATATTCAGAGACCTGAACACCAGCACAATGGAAAATGGCACCAACGGAGGTTCACGAGGAAGACAAGATTTAGTGATGGACTTGGTAGTGTTAGATTAACAGCTGGGCTTGATAACCTTAGGGGTCTTCTCTAAATAATTCTACAGTTCTGTCAGTTCAGCTGTATATAGGCTGCCAGTGATTCCCAGATAAACCACCAGCCTTCACTATTCCAAAGTGTCATTTGTATTTTAGACACACTGTCACCACAGAATTCAACTTCCACATGTGATAAGCATTAGCTAAGAACTCCAAAATAGTCCTTTCTGAGCAATAACAAGTGTAACAGACAGTGCTTTATCATAGGAAACCCTTGTTGAAAGTTAGCTGAAATTCCATGAAACAAATTGCTGCCATTCAAATCATACCAAGTATAGAGATCAATACATTCTTACAAGCTGCATGAAAACTAGATGGCTCACGATGTTAATGCCCCTGCTGACAGAGACTACAATTAATACGCAACCTTTACTAGTCAACCTATGACAACTAGACAACTTATGAAGTTTCGAGGCATTGCATTTATTATTTGAGCAACTTGCTTAGAATTCAAAACAAAAAAAGAAAGAAATACAACATGGGATAAAAAAATACCTTTTTTGTGACATGTATATAATGATCCTAAATAAAGGATCATTCCTTATGACAAATTTAAGCAATTTGGATGCACCATCTGAATCCTAAATTAACAGTCACAGCATTTCTTCACAGGAAGGTATAACTAACATAAGACAGCATCTCAGAAGGGAAGAAAAGTTAACTGCCTCAATGCTGCATGAATTTAAGTAAAACCTTTACCTTGGAAGTGCCATATGAAAACATTACACAGCATGAAATCCTTTGGCGAAATGATTTAAGTGGATTCATATTCTGAAAACATACTGTTAACCTCCTCTTTTCAAAGTAAGATATAACAAGGACAAGCACATATGGAGACAAAGCACTGCTTGATTTAACTGGATCTCCTTCATAATACGAATCAAAGGCAGAAGAGAAACAGAACAAGCTTATTCTCCCCTGGACAAAATTTACAAGCTCCATAACATACAAAGCTTGTCTTCGTACATTTACTTCCCTTAACTCTGCCAGCCCACATGGGTTTTCAGTCATCTGGCAAAAGCAGAGGGAAACCACACCTCTGAGCAGCTTCACAGTGGAGATTCCATCACATAAAACACTTTAGCAGCTGCTAAAGCTAAATCCCACTCCTCCCTGTCTGCTAAAGGAGCACACATTTTTCTTGCCCGATTTGCTGTTAATTGTTCTCTAGCTGGAGATTACAATACTGAATTGTCACTATTACTTTTTCCACACTGAAAAAGTCCTGGAACTTTCTCCTCCAACTATTTTCTTCATGAGCAGATTACCCTTTCTGGTTTAGCAACATAAACAGCATTTGGCTGATTTTCTGAACTTATCTGGAGCATCATAATCTTACTGGGAAAAAATAAAAAATAAAAAAATCACAGCAACATACTTTGCTAATGAATAATTTTTTCTAAACATTTGCCTCACCTTTGACAGAAGCAATTTCACACAGGAAACATGGCCCTCATAGACTGCTGATAGGAGTGGTGTGATATTGTGTTTGTCTGGAGCCTGTAAATGGAGACAAAGTTATTTGAAACACAATTTCAGACAGCATTAAAAGGTTTCACTTAAATCCCTACCTTCACACTACTGTTGGCAAAACAGAATTAAGAAGAATATTATCCAGAATTTTTTACTCTCCTTTTAAAAAGAAAAGCCATTGTTTAAAAAACAGGTAACAGCAAGATATTTCTTCTGTAACACTTTTAAGGTATTCTAAGGTTTGTTTAATTTTTTAGGCCAATGACAGACATTGCAGGGTGTCAGCTGACAACTTTTTCCCAATTTAAAACCACTATTCCTAATTCTCACATTTGCCAGCCAGCCTTACTCAGGAAACCAGTTTTGGCTGAAACAGTTTAAGCTGTCTTCTCCTCTCTAATCTAAAGTCCTGGAAAGAATAAGAAATGGAGCAACCAAAATACTCATATTTTTCCCTCCACTTTTACCTCCTCTCCAATTAGGGGAACTGAGGAAGAGACAGTATTTCCAGACACCAAGGAAAAAAAATCCAAGCCATTTTGTTGTTAAGGACCAAAGCTAAGATGTCTTCCTATACATTAACTTTCAGAGAATTACAGAACCATAGAATAGTTAGGGTTGGAAAGGACCTTAAGATCATCAAGTTCCAACCGTTAGGGTTGGAAAGGACCTTAAGATCATCAAGTTCCAACCCCCCTGCCATGGGCAGGGACACCTCACACTAAACCATATCACCCAAGGCTCTGTTCAACCTGGACTTGAAGGGATGGAGCATTCACAGCTTCCCTGGGCAACCCATTCCAGTGCCTCACCACCCTCACAGTGAAGAACTTCCTCCTTATATCCAATTTAAACTTCCCTGTTTAAGTTTGAACTCGTTACCCCTTGTCCTGTCACTACAGTCCCTAATGAAGAGTCCCTCCCCAGCATCCTTATAGGTCCCCTTCAGATACTGGAAGGTTGCTATGAGGTCCCCACACAGCCTTCTCTTCTCCAGGCTGAACAGCCACAACTTTCTCAGCCTATCTTCATACGGGAGGTGTACAGTCCCCTGATCATCCTTGTGGCCCTCCTCTGTACTTTTTCCCAACAGTTCCATGTCCTTTTTCTGTTGAGGACAGTAGAACTCTACACAATACTCCAAGTGAGGTCTCACAAGAGCAGAATAGAGGGGCAGGATCACCTCCTTTGACCTGCTGGTCACGCTCCTTTTGATGCGGCCCAGGATACGGTTGGCTTTCTGGACTGTGAGCGCACACTGAAGCTGGCTCATGTTCATTTTCTCATCAACCAACACCCCCAAGTCCTTCTCCGCAGGGCTGCTCTGAATCTCTTCTGTGCCCAACCTATAGCTGTGCCTGGGATTGCTCCAACCCAGGTGTAGGATCCTGCACTTGGCACAGTTAAACTTCATGCGGTTGGCATCAGCCCACCTCACAAGCGTGTTTAGGTCCCTCTGGATGGCACCCCTTCCCTCCAGCATATCAATGGGATTATTCCAAAGCACAGCATTTGGGGTGCATGGTTAAAACATTTAGAAACTTCACTTCATGGAGAACTTCGCTGTTTTCAAGTGCCAACACAGCCCAGCCCAGCCAAATTTTTTCATGTCAAAAGGCCATGCATATCAAGTTACAGTAAAATGACTAAGTTTGTAAAAGAAAGAATGTCTCAAAAAAGAGCAAAGCACACCAACTTAAACACAGTTGATCCTGCCCTGGACAAGCATGCATTGTACTGCCTTCTGAAGTCACTTCCAACAAATCTAATATGCATTTCATGCAAACTTTATTTAGATGTGATCCCTGGATTTATTTTTCTAATAATGGTTAAATCAAAGTTTTTATAACTATAAACAACTTTTCCTAGTGTGTCCAAAAAGAACAAAAACTTTTAATACATGTAATCTTAAGCTTCTGACCTGCAGGAAACTGCCTCTCAAATATTTTTAAACACAGCAAATTGCTTAGTTGGATTCAAGTCTTTCAGTAACCATTTAGGTACTTATACCAATCCCTTGGGGAGGCGGAGGGAGGGGCAGGAGAAGGAAGATCCTAACACTCCAACATCTGTTTGCAAATTGATGTACATACATTAATATCGGCTCCTTTCAATAGCAGAAATTCCAGAATCTCAAGCTGTCCACAGTCTGCTGCATAGTGAAGAGGCTTCCTCCCACCTTCAAGTGTCCGGTTGACATCTTCACCCTTCAATGTAAATGTAATCTAATAAGCAAAATTTTAGAGCTAACACACCAAGACCAGCTTGAAAAAATGCAACACCTTCAAATATGCTGAAGAATGATCCAAATATTTAAGTCATTGCCACAAGAAAAACAAAAATCGAGCTGCTTAATTTCCTTTCCCCATCTATACATTTAAGACTGTAATACAATCTTGGTCCCTCCTGCCACACTGCACCCTAAGTGTACTAAGTATGCAAGTGCACTAGGTAGCTTATGATTAAAGAAAAATTAAAATATCATTAGAGCCTGTAAAACATGCTCCCATTGGCTCATTTTGCTTTTCCTTCACCCCAGCTAGGATTCTAGTTATCTGGCTAAGTTACTTTACCTGCTTCTATACATATTGATGCTTTGCATACTGAAAAACCAGATGCGTAGAGAAGTCAGCGTCACAACTACTGGCAAATAAGTACAGTCCATCCATAACTTCAAACCCAATCATGAAACTGGACGCTTTTATAAATAGCACCTGCCAATTCTACATGACACAAAGTCTGAAGACAGTCAAATCAGGACACAGGAAGCTGAATTCTAATGCCACTCATACTAGTGAATTGAGACATCTCGTAAGGCGTAAACAAAATTTAATTTAGTGAGTGCTTAAGCAGCTTTGGTTCCTCACCTTGGGTTGTGCAACTAGGATAAACTGATTTGCTGCACTTCTGTGATGACAAGAAGTTACTGGAAACCAAATACTGACAAGCTGTGTGGTAACTTCTTGCTCATATCTGCAAGTAATGTTAGTATTTTAGGGAGTGGCTAAATTTAGCACCGTACATCAAGCCCTGCACCTCCACAGAAAAACAAGAATTTCAGTTGCAGCACCACTCATACTTCTCTACAGAGCCCCTACACTTCCCTTATTCCTACCCCAAATCTCTAGGAAGAGCACAGAATAGAAGGCTTGACATGTATCTTTCAGACACTACCTCCCTTTAAGAATGGAAGAGAATATTGTCAGAAGGAAATCCTGTTCTGCATTTGATATTCTGTATTACCAGCCAACTAACAAGATGACTCTAGATTTCTCGTATCAATAGGCTATTCAATTCTTCTCATAATATACCACGCTGAAAGTCAAAGCAATACAGCAGTGTTTAACTGTTGTTTTCAGTTGTTAAACTGAAACACTGCACATTCTGTGGTTTGAGGTCAGCACTTCACACTATTGAAGGTTCTGGCTTCAAAAAAGCATGAAGTGGCAGCAAGTAGCACAATTAAAAAAAAAAACCCTCTGCCACCACTGCTAGTGACCCTGAAACACAGCTATGGCTTCTGACACATGTTGGATGTTGGGAAAAAAAAAAAAAAACACAACCTCTTATTTTATCTATGTTTTATTTTTATCTATGATTTGCAGAAAAGCAACAAATTATACTTCTAAACAAAGTCTACCACAGTTGTAGATACGTGGATTATAAACACCATACAACAGTTCATAATGTAAAATGTAAATTTCCAGTGAGAGTAACCGAAGGTCTAATTCTTTGCTTACTAGTAAAGTTGTTGCAGATAGCTTTGTGATGTAACTTCTCTTGCTGAATTTCAGTATAAAAAGTTGGTGGGAATTATGTTAACAACTGTGTCCCAATTTAAAAAAAAAAAAAAAAAAAAAAAATTGCCCAGATCACACGACACTAACAGCACACCAACAGCCACATTATTGAAAAGTACAGAAAGAAGCAGCATATACTTAACTCATCTAGAAAGTTAAGCTCTATCCATATTCTTACTTGCATCTTGACACTTCCCATCAATTTTAACACAGATGGTATTCAAATAACACATGATGTTAAGAGACACATTAAGGACTGGGTTGCATATGCTTAGGAAGCCAACCATGTAGAAGCCATGCAATCACTATCCCAAAACGGGCTCTAAAATACTCTGATGCATACTACGACACAGTAAGTAAGGCAGTAATGGAGAAGGACAAGCAAGTTAACCCCTGGTACAGCACCCCATAAAACTATAAAGTTCACACTCAGAAAGAAACTTAGAGTCATACCTTAAGACTAAGAAAGTCCAGCAAAGCTCCCCCTTCCTTAAGCTTATAAACATTATTTGGCTCATTGGCTTACACTTACTACTGATCTCCTCATTCTCTCCTAAACTGGTTGTGGAATAAATTCAAGCTAGACAAGACAAACTTTCAGAAGGATAAAACAACACCTAAGCACCAAATTTTCTAAGTTTCCCTTAAAGATGATGAAAGCCTGTTTATAGGGAAGTACCTAGCAAAAACTCCGCAAAGAAAGATGTCTCAAGTGCAGATCACATGGATTTGAATACTAGCACTGAGAAAATGTGCCAGCAGCATTCAAAGTCAAATCTAAGAATATCTTAGTCCAAATTAACAGAAACAAGATATCCAATAAGTTACAAAAATAAAGCAAGCCCTCCTAGGCTCTGTAATAAACAAAGTAAAATAACCAGTTGTTTCATGGGTGTGAAAAAGGCACTGTAAAACAGACCACTGACCATTATAAAACTTCATTTGGCCTTTCCTACTCCTAATCCAAGACATATAGAAGTAGGAAGGAAGATAAATCAATTTAATGTACAAGGATCAAACCTGGCCTTGAACATTTCCAGGGCCAGGTTGGATGGGGCTTTTAGCAACCTGGTGTAGTAGAAGGTGTCTCTGCCCATGGCAGGGGGGTTGAAACTAGATTATTTTCTAAAAGATGCCTTCCAACCGAAACCATTTCATGATTCTATGGATGTAATTTATAAATAAATATGCAGATATGGGTGGTGTATGCTCAGTAGTTTGTTTTGTTTTCTGGGGCTTTTGTGGGTTTTTGGTGTTTTTTTTCCTCCAGATGGAGTGCATGATCAAAAAGATTTGGAGACCATTTGTCTATAGCTCTATTGGTAACTACAGAAACAACAAGTGAATTCTTTTTCAGAGAGAGTTTAATTCTGGAGGACTAAAAAGTTTCAGTGGAAATTTTATAGGTCAACTAAAAATAACCCTAAACCTTACCTCTAAACACAAATTAATCAGATTAAAGACCAACTGTTATAAAACTCGTAAGAATATCCTTACAGTTCTACTTTGGAAAGAAAAGGTGTCTTTAGACATGAAAATACTGACTTTGTATCTTTATTTGAAATTCTACTAAATGTCTCAATCTTTGTCTACACCAGCTGCTATTTATGTGCTTAAATAAGTCTCCAAGATACAAGTTCCATATAAAATCACCTATAAAATGAGAAAGTCTGAAAACTGCTAGAACCCTCATAATCCAAATTGTCAGTACACTGGTGCCAAAGACAGTAGCTACTAAAACTGCAACAATAAGCCTTTCAGTTTGCTAGACAGTGATGAGAAATACATCTAACATCCTAGGTAAGGTTGTCAAAGATTATCTAAACAAGCTGCTGTTCTCCTTTAAGCACTGGATTTACAGTCCTGTGGGTGTTGACTTTTGTCTTCACTGCATGAACACTCCAAGTTGGATTCTCTTGATTTTCCACAATATTCTGTTCAGCTACACCAGTGAGAGATGTTGACTTAAGACAGTTGGGTACCCAGTTTTGACAGACTGACCAGCCATGACAGACCACATTTTGTATAGGAAATGCATCTTTTCTGTAACGAGACATCTAAAAAGTGATTGACTACGCAATACGGAATTTAAGAGTTCACATTATCAAAGAAATTTTATTTTGTAGTTATAGCAACAAGCATCAAATACCAGTTCATATCATAAAGAGAAAATCTAAGCCTAAGGTCAAGATTTGAGTCCCCTCTCAGATAAAGCAGCTCTGGTGAAGGTGTAGCTAATTATGTCCACAGAACAAGACAAAGTGGTGTCTAAAGTCCTGTAACAGGCTGAGGCAGGAAAAGAGTTATCGCTATGTAAAGTTTTTTGAAATTATTGTGGTTCTGAATCCTATCAGCCAAAGACATCATACTGAATGTTAAGAGCTTGGGTATCAGCAATCTCATCAGATGATGATTCTTCATACTGACATCCAAGACAGCTAAGCAACCAGTATCTTGGTAGGCTGAAGCTAAGACTGTACCAAATCACTGGTAAAGGTTTATTTTAGAAAAGACCATACTCAGCTCAGGCATATGGTCAAAACCCACATGAATTGCCAAAGAGCACGATTTTTCTTTTACATCTCCAGAAACAAAATCTTACAAATATTAAAAAAAAAATAAAAAAAATTGACAGAATAATTCTCCCAGGAAGTTTGATGGGATGTTTGCCATCTTCTGGAGTCTAACACAGCAACAATGAGGTCAGTCATTATGAGGATACAAGGAGGCATAATGTAACCAGAACCAAAGAATCATATTAACTTCAAAATAAAACATAACCTTAGCCAAAGGCTACACCTCTTCTGAAAGAAGATTATTTAGTTTCACTTTCCACAGTGAACCTACCAATTCACTAACAACTGTAAGAATGTTTATGCAAAACCTCAAAAAATAATTTGTCTTTGCAAAAGGAAAGACATAACCACCTCATTAATGACCTTCCAGAATACATTGAGTTTACTTAGACATTTAAGGCTAAGTCTGGCATAAACCTCATCAGTAATGTTTTTCTTTGCAGGTCAAAGACCAGCTATGTAACATTAAAATCCAGTTCAACACATAAAATATCAGAAACAGCAGTTAGCTGGTATCTGCTTTAATCCCCTCTATCAAGATCTGTTTATAGGTAAAGTCTCCCTGTGTAATCTCCAATTACTAAACAAGACAGCATGAAAGATTTTTATAGCATGTTGATGTTATGTCCTATTTAGAGATGTCACACACATGGATAACAGTACAATATTCAATTAGAAGGACTTTAAGCAAAAGTGGGCTACCAAATTTTCACTGAAGAAAGTGAAAACACTTTCAGAATTTTCTCTGCTTTTTAAATAACTAATAGTAGCATCATCTAAAAGCAACTATCACCCACTTTCTGTAATGGAACAGTTCAATCCATAAAAACA